GCGTAACACACATACAAAAAAATATACAGTCGAATTGAGAACCTCCTCCTTTTTTTGAAGTCGGTTAAAAAAATATTTAACATAGTTGAGTTTGTCAAGTCTAGACTATGTTGGCCAAAAAAATTAACATTTAAATTGAGAAACCAAGATGGTGCCGAAAGTGCCGAGAAAAAAACCTGTAAAGACAATGCAGAAACCAATAGAAAATTTATATCGAAGAAATCTAGACATAAGAAGAAAAAGCTACCCTAACTTTTCAACTTACCTGTTCAAAATATCAAGGCAAGTATCGTAAAACAAAATGGGTCATATCAAGATCATCAATTATGATTACGAATAATTTCCTTGACGATAATACGGGAAGATTGCCAATAAAGCAATGGGGCACACGAATAGATCCTTTAAGATATGACGTGTCGTTGTAGAAGCGTGGTGGCCATCTAAGTCAACCGCGACAGTAAGAAGAAGCCAATGAAGCTAGGAGGCTAAGGGCACCTTCAAATTAGACGCTTAAGTGTGGCTTTTTTCACATAGATATTAAACATATAACACATCTATTTTGTAGTGTTTTTATATAATATTGTTTTCCTATTTAACAATTTAAACCAGCTCATTTCGAAAAGACTAAGCGCCAGTCGTCGGTCTGATGTCACGACTAGTGACGAGAAAAACCGATACTAACCTTATTTCAATTTCTGTGTTTTCAATTATTATATTAATTCTCTAATAAATTATATTGGGTAATACTGGGTAATACTTATCGAGTTCTTAGGTTTTCGCGATTGTTATACATAGGAATGAAACTATTTTTCCGGATTTAAATCGCGTATATTTGTTTTTTCAAACAAACCGACGTTTCGGGCCCTTTACAGGTCCCATGGTCACGGTTGACTGAGGTGGTACAGTCTTCAACCAGTTATGTCTAATATTGATGCAAACCACCCTATTTTTTCACTATAGTTACAATAGTTATTAATTAAATACCTTATTTTTAATTTTACAAAGAAAACATTCCAATTTACGCTACATTAAGTTTTACAAATTATTTTATTGAATGAATTTTTTATTAAGTTTAATCTATTATTAATTATTAATAGAAATTAGAATAAATTAAAACAAATTAAAACATATTAATTAGTACTGCAGTCTTATGTCTGTTTGGGATTTTTCATTAGAGGAAATACTGGATCCCAAACTGGTGGTACGGAGAAACCATCTTCCCTGTTGAAATTAGGATGTTTTTTAATTTCAATGGCCTCTCGCAGCATCCTGGGCAGATAACGGACTTCTTTTGCAAGGACCTGGGGTTTGTCAAACTTCATTGAATGTGTAGGTTTATCCATGACATGCTCGCAGACTGCAAACTTGTTTACGCGACGGTGTTTAACTGGGTAATACTGTTTGTGGAAAAGTAGATACGAGATATTTTTATATATTTAAAAAATATTTAACAATAACTTGAAATAATAAGGAAAAATATCTAAATAGCACACATCTAAGTCCATTATACTAAAAAAAACTTGTCACTAATTAATTCACCAAACGTAATATCGGTTTTTATTTAGGAAGTACGTCATACAGACGTCAACTTCCGGGGCGGGCGTTTCGAAGCTTAGTTTTACTCTATTTTTTTCTCAGCAACTGTTAATAAAAAATATATGAATATTATCATAAAATATGCTTCTACGAGGTGAAATTTTATAAATGAAGTTTTATAACTGCCCCAGTGGCCGAACGGTTACAATGCCGGACTGCCGCGTAGAGGTATCAGGTTCGATTCCCGGGCCGGGAGAAATATTTGTATAGTCTACATTTATTTCTCTCGTGAGTTTGAGTGTAATTTGTGGTTGTCTATGTGTGTGTCCATGGCACCCGCGACACAAGGATTTCCCTAGTGCGGGGCTATGTTGAATGTGTGCGTTATTATTATTATTATTATAAAGGGCTTGTTGGACAAATGTGCGATTGTCTATTCTTACCTGCAAAAGTGGTGTGCACGTGTCACGACAATGAAAGCGCGACATAGTCCTATCCTCGCATAGAGATCTCGCACTGTATACCGATCTCGCGCTAGTCGTGCCCTATCGTGCTAGCCCTACAGATATTGTATGAAAATGAACAGTAGCTTTAGTAGCGCGCACTTAAAGGCGTCCTCACGGCCTTCTCCAAAAAGCACACACTGATCAGTCGAGAATAATAAATCCAGACAAATAAAGTTAGTAGTACAGGAGAATCAGCCGAATATACGGACATCGAGGCTTTCAAAACTACTTCTATATACTACAATAGCAGAGAAACAATACATTTTGACTTTAACAATAATCACTATAAACAAAAAGTTTCATTTAATAAGATTAAGCGTAGAAAGACAGTCGAAATAGTTATTTGTTATGCAAGGCCGCAAAGTTGTTGTTTGACGCGATTGCCTGTATTGAAACCATTACTCTTATTACAAGTTCAGTATAGGTTCGTAGCGACAAAAAAGCGGGATGGTGATGTATCCGCTCACGCGATACATGCAGCCGTAGACGCATACCACACCTAGAGGTGCCGGTGATGATTTTATACCGATTTATCGGATATCGAGTTATAACAGGTAAAATGACTAATATTAATTGCTATTTCGATAACTACTCTAGCAAACCATAAAGATTTTAATGCCTGCGTCTGTCATTTAAAAGAAATAAACAACTTCAAAAATACGTCACGAGAATCGTGTGTGTTATTGTTTGGGCTGGTGATTTCGATGTTTATTTATTGAAAACATACTTTAAGTAGCGTTTTTTAAGTTTACGCTGAATGATTACGATGAATGTTTATAAACTATTCTTTAAGGAGTAATTTCATGGTAAACGTTAGAACCTCTCAAACGGAATATTATCCAAGTACACCAAAAATTTCATTAGTGTTTTTTAAGTGCAGGATTTGCGGTGCATTACTGCATTTTATTTGAGATGTTTTTGTTGGCAGTACGGAGGGTATTTATTTAGCAATGCAGAATAATAATTTTTATTTATAAAAAATTTGTATTAAACTGAATGCTTTTCTAATTTGCGAAACCAAGTAGCCGCCATTTTGCGGTAGGAGGAGCGCATCGCGTGAGCGGTCATGTGGCGCTGTCTCACTACGACTCATTTTAGGTCCTAAGCGTAATCGTATAGAGTCCACAGTGAGGCCCCTGAGCGAAGCGCAGTAGCGAGGATCTCAAGACACGAAACGTAAAACAGTTTTGCTGCCGAGCGAAACATAACTTTTCACGTCACTGTAGGAAGGTAAACGGTAGATGAAAGAAAAACAGTTCAACTATAAAACATCAGTTTTTATAATTGAAAGAAAAAGTTTATCCTCGGGTGTCTTCTGAATTTACACCTTATCAATTGTTATTCTTGCTTGTACTTATGTACTTTTATTTTGTGTGATTAAGTGATTATTGAAATGATTGTAGTTCTTCGACGAATTAAAACCATTTAATAAACACAATTAGTTACATGTTCAATTTAATGTCAACAATAATAAGAACAAAATATACCAACGGATTTATTATACTATAACCATTGACTTACAATTATATGGACGTCGGGTCCGCGCTAAAAAGTGTCCGCACTTGTAAGGCGCTAAAATCGTATACAGAGCGCCAAACTCCGCTTTAGTCTTCATTTGTTCTACTGACAGCGCGATACTGCGATGACATTACAATTTAAATTTCGTATAGGTTGACTTGGGACATTTTTTTCGTGGTTTTTGTATTAGACCCGTCGTCCATTTATTTGTAAGTCAATGACTATAACGGATGTATTAGTTGAACGTGTCATTAGCTTTTTTTTCATCGAAAGACATTGTTAGGTGACCACAGTCCATCGTCAAGTTCGAATTTCAAAAACCTTTTTCACGCTTGGGGGCAAAAAAAGCTAGTGAGGTTAAAAACATATTTTTATAAAACAAAGGCCTTATTTTTAATCCTTTGAAAATGGTGACAGTATCTGAGATTTCTATTTCGATTATTTAACGTGGGCGGCGAATTAGGGCTCAAGCCTGGCGGTCGTTACTCACGCTTCGCCACGGGTTTGATATTTCATTATTTTATCATTTATGTTCTATTTTGTTCCATTCAAGGCCAACATCAGACAAAGGATTTTTCGTTCCCAAAACTCTCATTATCCAATATTCAGTGCGGTAATTTTAATCCATAAATCTGATATGCCATTCTGCAAACACAAATCCATCATCGTCTGCTAGCGCCCCTAACTTGGATAAGTAGGTCGACACGAGAGATATCTCTTGCATATTAAATTGTTTACATATACGGTATAAAAAAATATATAATATATGTATAAAAAATGTAACAGTAGGAACCTATACTCTCGAAGTTGTTGACGATTATGTCCACCTCGGACAAACCGTCCAATTAGGCAGAGCCAACTTCGAGAAAATGGTCAATCGTCGAATGCGACACGGTTGAGCAGCTTTCGGGAAGCTCCGGAACGTCTTCTCGTCCGCAATACCGCAGTCCTTGAAGACAAAAGTCTTCGGGCAGTGCGTGTTGCCAGAGATGACCTACGGCTCTGAGACGTGGTCACTTGCTATGGGCCTCATAAAAAGTTCAAAATCACTAAGGAGCTATGGAGCGAGCAATGCCCGGCATTCCTCTACGTGATCGAATCAGAAATGAGGAGATCCGTAGAAGAACGAAAGTCACCGACATAAATCAAACGATTTTCAAGTTGAAGTGGCAGTGGGCAGGGCACATAGCTCTTAGAACTGACGGCCGTTTAGGCAGAAGGGTTCACGAATAAAGAACACGAACCGGAAGGCGTTCAGTGGGACGTCCCCCTACTAGATGGACGGATGACCTGGTAAGGGTGGCGGGTATCCGATGGATGCACGGCGAATCTGACCAGCTAGTCTGCCAATCTTTGGAAGAGGCCTATGTTCAGCAGTGAACGTATTCCGGCTGATATGCTGATGATGATGCATAAAAAATATATAAAATGTTTTCTTACCAAATGTTCAGGTGTATTCCATTCTTCATACATCCTAGCAGCTAGCGGGAACACTTTTTCATTCATTATCTCCAACGTAGTCAATGTAATCTTCTCAACACTTGCAAAATATTGTTCATACACCCATCTCAACTGCCAATACAATTCGCCACGACGTTCTTTACTAACCGAATGTACAATTTTCACTAGATTCTTTATATTATTCTCAGGTACAAATAATGCAATGCGATGCCAATCCAGATGCGAGTTAAAAGGCATTACTATAGAATCGGCAATAATAATAGGAATACATTGTGAAGCAATTATTTCCATCAATATGGCCTGAGTCAGCCTCTTACTACGTACAACTAAACAGAACAATCCTTCTTTTAAAATCTCTGGATACTCAAATACTCTACCGGTTGTGTATTCGCTTCTTTTTAAATGATCTGTCTTACCGTTTTCAGTCTTACATTGTTCTAAAAGTAAAAGATCGATCGATGACGATGCGATACTTTGTAATTCGGCTAAGTAGTCATGTGGTATGTTCAATTGCGCAGAAATTATAAGATAGTTTTTCTGTGCAGGTTGTGAGTTATCAATTTTCTCAGCAATAGGGCTGTGTACTGGTATTGATATGTCAAATCCGTGGCGAAAGGTCCATGTGTCGAAGCCAGCTCCAGCAATTATGGCCTTCCCCGTGTTGAGATCAAGGGCTGTATTGTAGTTTGATGTAAAACCAGGCAGCATGTTGAATATGAGATGATTTTCTCCATTGTTCCAACTGTTAGACGACAATGTTAAATTAGAATATAAATGGGGTAGTAATAAATTCAAAATTGTTGAATCGTTTTTTGTTGTAGAGAAATAATTTTTGGTTATTGTATGAGGAATTAGTAGGTAAAGGTATTAAATGTTTAAACTTATAGAAGTTTTAGTTAGGTATGTTTCTTTACCAAGTCTTAGGGTCGTATTCCAGAACTCTACTCAATACTCAAGTCAGGACTTGAGTATTGCAGTGAGCACTGAAAATCATACTCAAGTCCTTGCCATTAGGGTCGTATTTCCAGTGCTTGAAATCATACTCAAGTCTGCTCAAGTCCTGACTTGAGCATTGAGTAGAGTTCTAGAATACGACCCTCAGTTTACCACGATAAAGTTGACAATCACTGCCAACTTGAGGTTATCAAAAAATTCGTGGTTGCAGTCTCAACATTCTTTGTTCAAGAAGTTGTGTGAGACAGCTCAAATTTTATAAACTTAATAAAAGTTCACCTAACAATTCTATTTTGTCATTTATCTAACTCATTTACTACAAAGACAGGTAAATGGAAATTTGCAGATATTACTTTTTTACATTTGAACAAAAACTTGAGTCTTGTACAGGTTGATGCACAATAGTGGAAGCTATACTCTAGCCAAATTCAGTATAGAATGTTTAATAACATAATGTTACTAGGCAACCAAAAACAGCAGGTATAAAGAACATTTTTTGTCAATACTCATTATTTAGGCAAGCTCTGTCTTAGGCCTGCCTGCATAACTGAATTTTTTTTTATATGGAACTGTAAAATTATACTTTATATTACTTGACTAGATATCTCATACATCATCAATTGCCGATTCTGAACTTGAATTATCTGCTTTCTAATAAAAAAAAAAACATTAAGGATGACATAGTTTTTTAAATTATCACTTGCTAGTATATTTTATTTTGTTTTCAAATTACCAACTAGCGGTTTGAAACTTCTATTGAACAAAATTCATCACAGACATGACTTCAAGATTAGAATTATCACTTAACTAATCAAATTTCAGGGAAAACCTTGAAATTCAACAAAAAAACAGTCCGATGTGAAAACCCTAAAAATCATATGTTTTTGTTTGTTTGCATTTATTCTACATTAAATTTTACTAGAGAATAGTTGAATATTTTTTTATTTTTATATACTGTAAATATTTTTAATTTTTTTAAGGTTTATTGATAATGTTACAATCATCCTCAAAACAGTCTTGGTAGCTACCAAATTTCACTTTACTTGTGGCTTCCATTATAGCACAATGAAGACTGACTTTATAAGACTTTACTGAATAAATTAAGTAACTTAAAATATTGATTAGAATATAAAATTAATTAAACTTTAATTCATCAATTTACATTAAAAGTACAAGTCAAGCTTAATAAGTACAGTTGATATACAACAACATGGTAAGTGACAACAAAGCCTATACTCACTGTTCAAGAGATTGAAGTACTTGAGACAAATGTTTACTTGCGAACTGATGTTGGTTCAATGTATCTATACTTGGGATCAACAAGCACGCCTCCTCAGCCTCCGGCGTATAATATCTACTACGCTTTATTGTGTCTAGAACTATATAAAACTCCCTCGACAATTGTGATATAGGATGACCATCTTCAGTCAGATACTCCTTTAGAGGATAAATATAAATCGTTATCTTATCGTGTCCACCTCTCCCACATCTATACACGTTGAAACAGTCCCAATAGGAACAGTTCGACACACGGGACTCCGATAACGGAGCATCTCTTTTTATTTCTACCACTTGCACACCACTTTTTTCTAAATTCACCGGTTCGTGGAAGTCTGTCCGCGGCGGACTAACACTATAAGCATTAAACACCACAATAAACACTAAGAACACCACTACAAACAAGAGTAGGCCAACGAAAAACCTATGAAACAAGATTTTTCTATACGAAAAATACTTTGACTGCTTGCCCGGTTTTAATAGCAATTCCCCAGCCATTTGTAATTTCAGCGATTAAATTAGTCTTCTTAACTTATGTATGGCACCCATTATTAGAGAAAATCAATTGTTTCTCATTCAAAAATTCATGAATCAGTAAAACACTGTGCCCTACAGATTTGTGAGGCAATCTGACAGCCTGCCTCGAATCCTCTGTCAAGCTGTCAGCTATTTATCACAGACTAAATAAGGAATCGTTCGTTTCGTAATCCTGATTTATAAATGACAATATATACTTATTTATTATATTTTACATGCCAAATATGACAGTAACACAAAATGCCCGAAATACATGAGGCTAGTTTTTTAATTAGTAATTTTAAGCCAATATCACTGCAGTGACTAAGGTAACAATGCGTCTGTGGATAATAATAAAGAGCTTTCTTAAAACAAACACTATTACTTGGCTTCTATGTCGATTATTTATTATTTGCCAAACATTTTTTATGCAAAGGTTTATCTTTATATTATGGAATAGTGGCGTTCCACAGACATTCCTCTTCACGGTACAATTGTATTAATTTTGAATTAATTACGGTACTCAGTTTTCGGAATGTAAACTGTCTCAAAAACACGTGGTCAGAGGTCGGGAAAACAAGACGTGTCATCACTGCATACTATTCGATCGGATACTATCTTCGCCGGCTGCACGAAGCTAGTATACAAGACAGGATAGCAAAATCAGTCATAGCGGATACTAACAGCGCAAATAATAGAACCTCATTCTATTAAACTATCCTAACTTGAGACGCTAGCTTACTATCTTCCTCACTGGCTTGCTAGCCTAGTTATGAAGCTAGTTCTGTATATACGAAGCCAGAGTTACTGGCTTCCTAGCTTACTAGCAGACTAACACTAACTTGCTGTCCTAGCTTGAAAAACTATCCTCGTGTATTCCGAGCAAAAGAACTCTTCGCTTGTGATCTACATTGATGCAATTTTCGGCACCAGTGCCCTGAGCACGGCAGCACTATTACAGCATTTTGCTCTTTACATCCATTATGTGAATCATTCTTCAATTCCAGTGGTGTCCATACAAAAGTTACGCGCAAAATTAAATTATCCACAAAATTCTAAACAATTTTAGAGGTCGTTTCTGCATTGTGTGTGTGCATAATAATAGATGAGCTAATTGTTGATTAGCCCTTCGATGTTTATTTTTTGATCATACGAACATTATAGTGCCAGTCACACATTTGTTTATTCATAAATTACTTCAAACGGATATTAACAAATACCCGCGCTATATTTAATGTTGAGCACGCATAAAAATTGTCACTTCATTTTCATGTAATTTTGTGAAGAAAAAACACGAAACAAACCTTACGACAATCAATAGCGGTATTGTAAGGAACGTAACATATCAGGTACAAATCATTGGTAATAAATCAATGGTAATTGACGTTACCTGCACAGTGGCAAGCTGCGCTTAACTGACATGAATTAATCCTGTTTTGCATATTTTGTTCTAGCTTTCTTTATTATATTTCAGTTTTTGCTACCATATCAACTACTGTAATCCTTTTGTTATATTTGTTAACAAAATTTGAAGTGAATAGATAAAGAAACTTGAGTCAGGCGAATTCTAAACAATTCGCACAATCCACGCCACCAGGACTTTTCGTACTACCACATATATTTCAAGACAAAATGTCAAATTACTACGTCACATGTGCCCTTGCAACTAAATAATGGAGCACTTACACCAAGTGAGTCTACGTTAGTTACATCAAGTCGTGCGACTCTCATTTATACGCCGATCGCGGCCGAAACTTGTTAAGAAGACTGCATGCTTTGTGGATTATGTATCCTAGCAACTACATATTTCCCTAACATCTCTGTTAACTGTACCTTTCGTAATAAATTCTTTATAAAACATCGTTTGCAATATAGATTCAGGTTATTACATTAATAAAACTGACCAAAGCGACTAGGTGCATCGCCTTTGGCAAGTCGAACTAGGCGAGTCGATTGCGTCGCCTTCGGCAGGCGAAGTAGTTTGCCGACAGTCAGCACGGCAGACTACCCAGTATAAATGCGCCATTGGCGGCAGATCTAACGACTTTTATACAATGAAACGAATTTGACCTTGAAATTACAGTGCGTTCATAATGCAATAGCGTTTTCAAGAATCAAGCAAAATGGAATTTTAAAAACGACTATTTTCATTAATAATAATTAGTAATCCAACTGCATTAAAGGGCTTATATAGAGCATCGGTGTTTAATTTATTTGTGTGCTAAGAGTAAATCGCAATTTACATTTAATGTAATAAAATTTTACGTCTACTCTGAACGTTGCGATGACGACGTCAACTTTCTTGTTTTTCTGTCAGTTTTGTGTTGTGCGTAATTGTGGTTGAGTTTCTGATGGCTTAATTTAATTTTGTTATTATTTTATTTTCAAATTCCGATTAAATATTTCGGTTCGAGCTTGACCAGAAATGGCGCTACTACCACCAGATCCGGTTTATACAATCAGAAACGTGGACAACGTGCCCGTTTATTCGCTGGCGTTCAGCTTTTTACCGGGCGGTTTGGAGAGGTTACTAGCCGGCTCGAAAAATGGCTATGTTTATGCATACAACCTTCAGGTGAGATCAAATATTCTAAAGATAACTATTCCGGTGTGTTTTGTACAGTTTTTGCGTCGTTAAATTTCATCACAATGCCCGTATGCGTTCGGCGCGAAACTGCGCATTTCTTTGTTTACTACCCCCATTTTTGTGACCTACTAAACAGCAGAGACCTACTAAACAGCACTTGTATCGTCATCACACAACGTGCCAACACATCGTCTTGTTATTGTTTTAAATGTTGGCCAGCTGTTTAACAATTTTTCTATTTATTTTATTAAAAAAGTATTGTTTTCTTGGATTGAAACAAAATGGTGTCACATTTCACCTAACTACATTTTTTTTTCTAGACAAATCGAGTCCAGCAAAAAATCAAAGTTGGTCAAGCTCCTATTCTGCACATCATCCACACCAGCACCCATCTCGTCACCCAAGAGAAAGGAGGCAAATATAAAGTCTTCAGCCTGACCAACAGCGGCTACGAAGACGACGCCACCATTGAAGTTGACTACCCTGGCTTCTGCCGTTTCGAAACCAACACAAAACTCGAAACACTCTATGTACCTGACAAAGAATCAAAAATAATCATCTACAATTTTTCAGGTGAAAAACTTGGATGTTTACAACCTGAGAGTGATAATCTCAAACTTGGGGATCCAATGTGTATGAAGTTTATTGAATTTTCATGCGACCGGCCCTGCCTGCTGGTAGGCTACGAAGCAGGATGGCTCCTGCTTTGGGATCTCAATACTAGTCAATGCATCAGCAAACTGCAAATTAAGGGATGTCCTATGTCTGTGGACTTCCACCTTGAACAACAGAGAGGCATGATTGGCAATGCCTCTGATGTGATACAAATATTTAGCATAGGGAGAAAAGACTTAAGCTTGGCTCACAAGTTGGATGTCGCCATCAAGAACCCTGGAATAAATAAGGTGCAGACACGGCAGGACGGCAAAGTGTTTGCATCAGGAGGGTGGGATGGTCATATTCGCATATTTTCGTGGTTTTCCTTGAGGCCATTGGTAGTTTTGACAGAGCACAAGCAAGCAGTACAAGACCTTGTTTACTCCAGTGAGAAGGTCACTTTTTGGAATGCCCACATTATGGCAGCAGGAGGCTTGGATGGTGCCATCACCCTTTGGGATCTGTACAACAACAAGCAGTAACTACAGCATTGTGCTATTGAATTGTAGGACATAGAAGTCTTTAAGGCTAACTACTAAATGAAGTATTGTTACACTTTTTCCAATTTTAATAGACTATTTTCAGAAAGATGTGCCAGAATTGCCTTTATTAAGTACCTAATAATATGTTATACAAATCCTGATGCTTTAAATGATTTTAAATGTATTTTATTAAAATGCAAAGTAATGTATAATTTGAATTGGATCTCAGTTGTTAGAAACAGTGCCGCGCGACACCCAGCCCTGTGGGCGAGCAGCTAGTATGTAAGATATAACATGTTGTTACATAGCAATGAATATTTTCCATGAATGATTTTTAGCGATGTTTTTGAGTCGAAACAGACATTAAAATCTATGAAATTGTTGTACTTATTTCATTTTATATCCTTTAAACTATCAAATGTACAGAACTGTAAATAAAATACGTATTCAGTGACTCATATATTATCAATTTTTGTTGTTACAGGTGTTTAAAAGACAAACAATTTTTGGGGAATATCGAAATCGTTGTTATTGATTGTAAAAATACAATGTTCTGATAAATACCAAAACAAATATACACAAACACTTTCAAGGTTGTACAGTTATCAGTACATCATGTGGAAATACGTAATTTATATCAAGAAAATTTTGCATCTCAGATCTTTGTCCTGTTATCATTGTTGTTTGTTTATAGTTTACATTTGAGGGTTGTTGCCGTTCGCATTCATTATACATCATATAAACGTACGTATCTACGTAATTGACACTTATCTTGAAAATTTTGCGACTCAGGTTTTTGCACTGTTATCTTCGTTGTTTGTTTATACTTGGGATGCTGACATTGTTTGCTTTGTGGTTTAATTTACGTAAGTCACTAATTTGTGGAGCGAAGTTAATGGGAAGCACCACAAAGTCATCACCATGTCTCGATATCTCTTGCATATTTGTAGAAAAGTACCCACTATTTAAACTAAACTTTGAGATGCGTCCCGACGTCATTCAACAAGATATAGAAATAATCTCGTACTACCGACATAAAACTAGGGTCGTATTCCAGAACTCTACTCAATACTCAAGTCAGGACTTGAGTATTGCAGTGAGCACTGAAAATCATACTCAAATCCTAAATTAGGGTCGTATTTCCAGTGCTTGAAATCATGCTCAAATCCTGACTTGAGCATTGAGTAGAGTTCTGGAATACGACCCTTAGGGTCGTATTCTAGAACTCTACTCAATGCTCAAGTCAGGATTTGAGAATGGTTTACAGCACTCGAAATCATACTCAAGTCCCTGCCATTAGGGTCGTATTTCCAGTGCTTGTGTTGCCAGGGCAATCCTGACTTGAGCATTGAATAGAGTTCTAGAATACGACCCTCAGAACTCTATTCAATGCTGGAGTCAGAACTTGAGTATGATTCAAAGCACTAGAAATCATACTCAAGTCCCTGCCATTAGGGTCGTATTTCCAGTGCTTGTGTTTCCAGCGCAATCCTGACCTGAGCATTGAGTAGAGTTCTAGAATACGACCCTTAGCGTCGTATTCTAAAACTCTATTGAATGCTCAAGTCAGGATTTGAGTATGATTTAAAGCACTCGAAATCATACTCAAGTCCCTGCAATTAGGGTCGTATTTCCAGTGCGTGGGTTGCCAGTGCAATCCTGACTTGAGCATTGAATAGAGTTCTAGAATACGACCCATAAAGTCTCATAAATCGAGCCCACAGAACAATTTTCTTCCGTGATCGAGCCCTTACGAAATCTCAATAAAATATACAATTGCCCAAGCATATAAAACAAGAAAATAAAGCAAACAAAATTCATTAATAACTTAAAAACAGACTCACTAATAAAAGCTAATAATACACTACAACAATATTTAGTAGATAAATTTCTTTAACGTCGACCTGCCTCATTCCTATCTTGCTGTGCCCTTCACGGTTTAAGTATAATGTAGTCTATGTATAAGCTTATATATAATAAATTAATTGATATCTCAAAGACTTTTAGGCTTTGGCACCAAAACCTCACTGGCGAGCTTCCGTCGTACGCCAGATCGATATGGGTAGTCAACGAAGCCTCTTCGAACAATCTGCGAAATATAAATGCCGCTGTCCCTCTAGGTCTCCGGTCTCTACCGAACTCTCGTATTTATAAACGATTTATTAAGTTCCTATTATATTGGTTACGCAAATAGTAGGTTAGCTACAGAGTGGTACGTCACAGGAAAGCAATGGTGAACAGGGTGAATCTGACCCTTGAAGTCGGGATCAAGTGGGACTGGTACCCTGCCGTCCACTAACTAAAAAGTGACAAATGATCAAATAACCATTTTAAGGGTCGTATTTCAGAACTCTACTCAATGCTCAAGTCAGGATCTGAGTATGATTTCAAGCACTGGAAATGCGACCCTAATGGTAGGGACTTGAGTATGATTTCGAGTGCTTTAAACCATACTCAAATCCTGACTTGAGCATTGAGTAGAGTTCTAGAATACGACCCTAATTGACAAAAAATAGAGCACAAAATTCTCTTTTAAAAACAATTAAAATTAGTTAACGCATTACTATATTATATATTATACTATATATTAGTAAGAGGACGGCAGTATCAGTAGGTATCGACTTTTGAGTTTTCGTGATGTACTCATACCGATCTCCTGTCGCTTCAAACTCTTATATATAGGTGATCTACGTCCTTTATCATACCGTACACACACGTCAGAGCAGCGATATCTGTGTCGAGCTCAAGTTCGCACCTGTATGGAGTACTGTCAGAGAACAGAAAGTAACGAGAACGGACACACTCCGCCCCTCCCTAGCTTTAGATACCGCACCACACCCCGCACATTGACGGTCACATTAAAACGACAACAAGGCTGTCGGCGAGCAGTTTTCGCGCTAAGACGGCTTTGATATTTGAATATAGTTTTCATTTATTAGTTACCGTAACGTGCGTTAATATATAACATCATTTTACGTTACTATTTATAATGGTCGTGAATTGTGCTGGGTACGGCTGTTTATAATAATCTAAACGGGATATAGAGAGGAGTTTTTTTCGTTTTCTGAAAGGTGAAACGAAGTAAGTCTATAAGAACTTATGTCCGAGACTTATTCAGTTATTGTTTTGTTTAGTGCAGAATAAGTAACACAGATTTATTATATTAATATAATAAGACGCCATAACTTTGTGAGCTAGTAGACAAGGGTTCTCGAATTTTCAATTTGTATTGCCAAATAAATATTACGTAGTGAATATACCTAATTATTAACTAGGTAATGATAAACTTGGACACACAATTTCAAAATATAACATTTTAAGTGTTTTTAATTTTTTAAGTAAATTGTCAATATTATTCCAGTTATGGAATTAATGAAAAACATAATATTATATCGATAGAAATACGTAAAGAACATGTGTAATTACTAGGATTCTATAATTGAATTATAGATAATAGATTGCCGCTCTGACCACGTAACGTAATAAATAGTACGAGCAAGTGATGGGTAACCCTGCCACTTCACGCCCACATTTGCGCGTGTGCAGATAGCGCCGTGCTGTATGTAGTAGTAGTAGGTAAATAACTTTCGATCGTTGTATAGAGTGTCCGGGGTATGTCGTAACATCCAAAAAGAAAGAGATGGCATTATATAGTTCACATAGCGTTATCTCTTTCCTACTTTAGTAAGGAATAGACAATATTGGGAAACCATTCGTTCTTTCATTCACTTTTGCAATAACACATTACATTACTTGGTTGATAGGTTCGTCATGCTACGAATACGAATATGAATAATATTACAATAAGCTTACATTCAAATAAGATTGTTTTTGGAAAGGTTATGGTATGGTGGCTGGTTTTAAAATTAATCTAATGGCCAAGTCTAACTTTATCGCATTCCGACAGCGCTCGCTCAATGGGTGAGTTCTTAGGGACTTCGGACTTTCAGATGGAGTAAAGGTTCAGGAAATCACGATCTGGTTACTTCAGACAAGAAGTTGAGGCGGGTACGGACTTTCGTGTATTAATGTCCTTAGATTCAGAGCAGGCTCAAAGGAGAAGAAATATAAATAAAAGGGAATGACTACCAATCATTGACGCTAGTTGCAACTAATGGATGAATGTAAGACAGCAATTATGGTACTGTCTCTTTACTACGAAATAATTGAAACATAAAGTCAGTGTCAACATTTTATTCGACATTGAAATTAATAATAAGTTACTATGTAGTATCACATTTAAGTGCGCTCTAGTAGATATGCCTTAACTAAGAAGTTATAAATCGATAGGCTTATATCTAAGACTAGCAATTCAAAGTATGTTGCACTTAGCTCTGATTATCATGTTTTGTGTGATATGTATGAATTTAATCTATGGATAGTGGTATTTAAGTGTTCATATGAATTACACTTCCACAATTTTACGAGTTTTAGGAATAAGCGAATCGTCTTCAGTCGTAACTTCGACAAGTCTTCGCCGTTTTCTCAAAGGTCTCGTAGATTCCGATGGCTCCCGTGGTTTTGTGACAATTTTGGCCATTTTATTTCCTAGCCTCGTGATTTTAAATTTTGGCAATGTTTGTTCTGGATTTCCCTCAATATATTCATTATCGTTTCTATCATTTTGCAATCGTTCATTTATTTCACTTTGCTCAGGTGAATCTCTTTCTTCTACTACCTCCTTTTCGCCACTATTTTTATCATCGTCTTTATTTCCGTTCATGGTAAAATCCAAAGGACCTTCTGTATCGTCATTTTTGACCTCGCTTTTCACTTTATTTAGGCAGTGCGCTTGAATGAACGATGTGATCGGTATTGGAATCGGGATTGGAAATGGAATAGGTAAAACGACAGGGTAGGGAACTAATACTGTAACTGGTGGAGTTTGACCCAGCGGGTTGGGAAAGGGGTGTGGAAGCCGGGGTCTGTCTTGATGGATTTGTATTCCAGGTCGAGGCGGTAGGAAAGGTCGCGGTGGGTACATGCTTGGGTGCCTCATTTCCGGCCCATTTTCCATGAATACCGGAGGTGGGATGCCGAACATTGGGCTAGGAAAAGGTGGAGGAGGTATAGGGTGCGTTAAAGGCTGAGGCGGTGAGTGAATCGCACTGCTTCCCGCTATAGACGCGGGTGAAGATCCACCTGATGGGCTGCACATTCGTAGATCTTGCGCTTTCGGTGTTGTAGCATGCTGTCGCATACTTTGTGACGTCACAGTGGCAGAGCACTTCGATGAGCGTCGTTTCCGCAAATTCATTTTAGTATTTCTGAGATCCTTCTTTGTTTCAGGAGACTTAGTCTTTTCTTCGCAACCTTTTGATTTCATTAGCTTTGCAGTTGGCGCTATGGTTATTAAAGGTAATGGAGATTTTCTTTGTGGTTTTGCCGGTTCTGTCTTTTCTGTAGGTTTTGATACAGTCATATTTTCGGGGTTAGGTGATCCTGATTTTTCTGATGTCGGTGACGTTGACCGACTTTTGCAGTTCTTAAGCCAAAGGTCGGGTGTAATTAGATTGGAGGTAGACGAGGCGTTCACCAGATGTGGGTTGAGATCGAGGTGCGCCTGCGTCTCACGGCAGAATATATGCATCTTATACTGATTGAGGCATTTGTCCGAGCAGAACTGAAGCTGAGTGGCACCATCCTGAAATTGGGAAACGATAAATTTAAAATCAAATATATAAATGATTACGACAATAATTTGTATTGACCATAATTTTTTTATCTCGTGCATTCGAATCCGGGCTTACATGTACCTACATGTACTTACCTAAGTATAATAAGGTAAATTTAGGGATTTACGTGCGTTTAATTTTAAATTTACCATGAGTTTTTCGGTATCTTATACTTAAAGAAGAGAACAAACTCCTAGTGGCCGGGAGAAAGGTTCTCAGGACAATATTAAGGCCAGTCCAATGGGAGAACGGTAGCTGGAGAGTCAGCATTAACGCTGAAGTAGAAGAGCTCGACGCCCAGCCAAACATCATCGGCGAAATCAAAGCGCACAGACTTCGTTGACTCGGCCATTTAGAAAGGATGGAAGAGGATCGAAACGTGAAAAGATCCTATCTTGGTCGACCTACTATACGATACGATACGGGCCCGCGTGGGAACTACAGCCCAAACCCTGTCATTGTGAGAGGAGGCTTGTGGGACTATATACGAATAGGCTATTATTATTATGATTTTTCTTATCTTAAAACATTTGCACAGGCTTTGTTCGTTTACCTACAATGATCAAAGGCTAAATGCGACGGCGATCCTCACCTGGAAGTCCACATAAGCAACAGTATGCCTAACGTGACGGCACCAGTCGCAAGTCTTGGCGCGTTTGAAGTTGGCGCGACGGGACTGGCTGAAGCACAACTCCGAACAAAAGGTGGACCCTGCATGCTGGATAGCACCGCCTTCGCGCGTCCTCTTGTTGCACCATGAACACTCGTCTGGAATGAGAAGTAGGTAAGTTAGTGAATAATATCCATTTCTTTAGATAACTGTAATTCTGTTTATTAGGATATTATAATCTATAACAGTGTTTTTATGTTAAGGTCATATTCATTATTTTAATTTATAAATATAATATAAAATATATAATAATAAAAATTTAAATATTTCACTGCCTCAGTGACCGAACGGTTACCATGCCGGACTGCCACACAGAGGTCCCAGGTTCGATTCCCGGGCCGGGAGAAATGTTTGTATGGCTTACATTTATTTCTCTCGTGTGTTTGGGTGTAATTTGTGGTTGTCTACGTGTGTGTCCATGGCACCCGCGATACAGGGTTTCCCTAGTGCGGGGCTATGTTGAGTGTGTGCGTTATTATTATTATTATTATTATTATTATTATTATTATTAACTCCTTTCTTGGCTCCATGTATAGAAGGCATTGACTTACAAATAAATGGACGACGGGTCTAATACAAAAACCACGAAAAAAATGTCCCAAGTCAACCTATTTAAACGTAGTGACATGTAAAGGAATATGAAAAAGCTAAAACGTTGAATTTAAATTGTAATGTCATCGCAGTACTGTCTAATTTTGCTTGCTTCGCTGTCAGTCGAACAAACGAAGACTAAAGCGTGAATGACGCTCTGTATACGATTTTAACGCCCTATAACTTCGGACACTTTTTAGCGGGGACCCGACGTCCATATAATTCTAAGTCAATATTTATTGTCGATATTTTTTATTTATTTATTGTTGATTATTTATTGTTGATAGAAGGTCATATTTATTGTCAGTCACTGCGTGTTTGAATGCGTAGGTACGCATTTTCCCATTTGTTGATCCCCAGTGATCATTACAAGTAATTTGGGTGTTCCATCGAGTACATAACCAACTATCGATTTTGAATTCGGGCTGGCCAATCGGAGCGCAGTTGTCATCGTAGCAATTGGCGGAATAGTTTTCAAACAAATTATATGACATTTTATCTCTATATTTGGTTATGTACTCGATGGCGTGTTCCGTAATAGCCTTAGCGCCCAGTTACACGACAAGAAAGTTTTCGCGCGGCCGATCGCCCAGTTACCACGCCTTCATGTACATTAATGGCGAATCTGAATTATATTTATTATGCAACAACATTTAAATTCCTCTCAAAAAATTTAACGCGCGGCCGCCGCGTAGGCTAAATTCAAGCCAGGCTAGCCCGCGTGCTACGAAACGCTCATTTAAATTAAAACGTAAACGCTAAACAAATAGAGATTTTGCCATGACAGTTAGACGCACGTGGTCGCTGCGCGGCGGCATCGCGGACTCCGCTCTTCGACCGTGCGGCAGCCGCGCGGGGTGAGCGCGGTGAAACCGTGTCGAATAAATGCCCTTAGAGGATAGAAAAAAAATGTAACAGCGAATCAGTGTGACTCGCGTTCGACAAAGAAAAATACCAACTTAAAAATTCGCTAAAAAACAAAGGCCGTATAAAAGTTGATTAATTGAATCGAACGTAAAATCACGATCGCATGCGAAGCGAGTACAATAATCTCAAGCAAAACTTCTCCAATTAATTTCACAAATGATATTATATTTGATGAAAAAATATCTCGAATGAAATACAACACCTGTAGTCATTACGATCTGATAGCGTGCAACGAGAAGTCGTTAGGTCCTTATTAATTCTGTTGCAAATGTAAAACAACTCTGGAAACTAACGATTGTGTTATTCGACTCTTAAAGTTATATGAGATTGGTTACAAGATATGACTTCTTACCTATCGAAATTTAACTATCAGACATAACCTAATTATACTGGAACGAGCTGAATAATATAATGCCTTAGTTTCTTAAACTCGTATCTTATAAAGAGTGATTATTCAGGAGATAAGAGCAAAACTTTCTATTTAATTTCAATTTCTTACCAAGGGATATGTTAATTTGAATGCATTTCTTTAAGAATAGTTAAAAGCCAGTGTGTGAATATAAAGGAAATGCGATGTGAAATCAACCTGCAAAATTTCCAATTATATGTATATACAATTCATTTTTTGCATTTCAATAATTTTGTGCTTTAAGCATTGACTTACAATTAAATGGACGACGGGTCTAATACAAAAACCACGAAAAAAATGTCCCAAGTCAGCCTATTTAAACGTAGTGACATGTAAAGGAATAGGAAAAGCTAAAACGTTGAATTTAAATTGTAATGTCATCGCAGTACTGTCTAATTTTGAATGCTTCGCTGTCAGTCGAACAAACGAAGACTAAAGCGTGAATGACGCTCTGTATACGATTTTAACGCCCTATAAGTTCGGACACTTTTTAGCGCGGACCCGACGTCCATATAATTGTAAATCAATGGCTTTAAGATACGAATTTGAGAAAGTAAGGCGACGGTTTGTTAAAGATTGTGCATGTACACACACATGTACACACACACGCACGCACACACTTTAATTTTATTTATTTTTTAATAAAAAAATTAAATGCGCATTTATGGCTTTGTCATAACAAACATACATATTTGTATTTTGGTAACATAGATTTTAGCACCTCAAGTTTTTTTTAATGTCTCGCCTTGAAAAGGCCCAAGTTATACCGCTCAGGGAACAAGTCTGCAGGCAGGGAATTCCACTCCATATAAACGTGGAAGCAAGTAAAGCAAGCAATAAGTGGAAGTCGTGCAATTCCTTTGCATTCTTCGTGATATATCCTGTAGAATACCGATAAGCAGGCAACTTTACGACGGCAATTTGAAATTTATACTTATTTTTTAATTCTATAACTAACTTTTGCTTCTTGTCTTTGAATATATCATAAATGTATGCAACAATAGCACGTACCTAGATACCTATCTAATTATTCTTTTTTAAATTATAATATTGATGAAATGAATATATGCCTTATAAACCAGTACAAAATATTTCTAGAGCAATTCAAATTCGTGATAAATGCAAGAATCACCGGAGGAGAAGCAGGGAAAACTGTTTTGCTACATCAAACTGTTTAGGTGTTTACTTTGAAATAACGATCTTACAAAAAATACGCGATACACATAAGGATATTATCTAAAGAAGGTCCTAATCGTTATACGATAGGATGTACTTTATCCGATCATATAAAATCCTGAAAACAGGCTAAAATAAATGTGTAAAACGAATTATTTAAGAATACTATAACTAACTTTGTACATCTCGTAATTTTTATATGAGATATTTCTATTTAAGCGTCTACGAGAACCTGCTAAATTTTGCTTTTCAACCGAAGCCTAATAGTTATTAAAATCACATTTATCCCAACATTTGCAAAGCGCTTAGCGGTTTTACGACACACCGCTCCGCCTGGTGCCCCATCGGGCGCTTGTTGATGTCGAATCTGTGTCAAATCTTCTACGCCTGTTCTTATTTTATTCGTATTAATTTTCAGCCCCAACATCTCACCTAAAATCTAGGCTCACGTTGAAACTTTAAAGTTAAGCATCAAACATTTTCCATATGGTTCCGATTTCGGTTCACGCGAGAAGTCTCGTATCGAATATTTTGTTAACCGCAGGTAAACACACATCGAATTGCGATCATTAAGATAAACTAACACTGTGATATCGGATTTAATAAATTTCAAATCTATACACATATCTCCTAACATCACATTATATCTCATACTACATGTACTTATACACATTTATCTATGTACAGGGTTATTAGTAAATACTAATTACTTCGCAGGACTATTATATTACTAACATCAGAAACAACAAACTTTTGTTCCATGATTTTACAAAATATAATTTTACTAAATATTAGGGGTTAAAGTATGAAATTGCCGTTTTATTGCAATAGGTTCTTTGAATTTTCATAGAATCTTCATGGTTTGAGGTTTTCGAATGAAACTTTTTTCAAATGGTTTGTGTTTTTTTTTTTAAATTTGAAACATTTGAATATCGACTTTCAATTGTTTTTGTTATTCAATTTAGACAAGAAAGATGGATACTGCGAAAATTCGAGTGATTTTTGAATACGAGTTCCGACGCGGAACTAACGCGGCAGAAACAGCCCGCACAGGTGAATAACGATGAATTAAGAGAGATAGTGGAAGCCGATCCTAGTCAAACTACCCAGGAATTAGCGGCATGGTTTAACGTTACCTTACCCACAATATTGACTCACTTGCGTCAAATCAATAAAATAAAAAAATACGAAAAATGGGTGCCTCATGATTTGACTGATCTGCAGAAAGAAACGCGTGTTGAAACTTGTGTTGCCTTGTTGAACCGGTACAGAAATGAAGGAATATTGGATCGAATTGTAACATGTGATGAAAAGTGGATTCTTTATGATAACCGGAAAAGAAAAATGCAATGGCTGACCCCAGGTCAAATGCCACAACAGTGTCCTAAAGCAAAACTTACCAATAAAAAGGTAATGGTAACTGTTTGGTGGTCTCAGCATGGTGTTATTCACTATAGTTTTCTCCGATCTGGTCAAGCAATAACGGCAGATGTCTGTTGTGCCGAACTCCGAACCATGTTGACAAAACTAGCAGTAAAACAGCCCCGACTCATGAATCGATCTTCACCATTATTGCTCCACGACAACGCGAGACCTCACACAGCACGAGAAACCATTTTGACCCTTCAGGAACTGCAGTTAGAAACCATTCGTCATCCTCCGTATTCACCAGACCTTGCTCCAACGGACTACCATTTTTTTCGTGATTTGGACAATTATCTACGTGACAAGAAGTTTTCTTCCCAGGAGGCAGTACAAAATGCTTTCACACAGTTTATGCAGTCTAGATCGTCGGAGTTCTATCGCAAAGGCATTAATAACCTTCCCATTAGATGGCAGCAATGTATAGATAATAATGGCAACTATTTTGATTAAATAAATTTGTTAAAAATTTAAAAAATAAACAATTTAGATTTTCAGTACAAATCGGCAATTTCATACTTTAACCCTTATTATAAGCTTTTAAGTTTTTGTTATAGATTATCTGACACTTAGTAGATCTGTATTTGGTTGTATAGTCCATTGGTTTAGGGACTTAACTAAATCTAAACAATTATAGATGTCTATATAATGAAATACACATTTATAAAATGTTTTTTACTTACCTTCAAATACAAAATGCAAATACATGGCTTCATATGAAATTGGATGCCTATTTCTATACCTATGGATTTGTAAGCATATGTTTCATTAAGAAGATGTGTCAGGATTGTTTAGATTTAGTTAGTACATAAACAAATGAACTATAGCAAGTTCATTCAAACGTACAAGCGTCTTCCCCGACAACGACCCATGCTCTTGCGTTTTGCATCGGACTGGTATGCAAAACGAATTACGAATTTCATTAAAAATAGAAAAAAAGTTTATTTTCTACCATCTTAAACTACAAAATTTTTGTTACATACATTAATAAGTACTACGTACCGGCACGCTATGATGGCCGTTTTTACAGATTACAATAATAAGGTCAAATCTCAACTCATTGTCGAAAAAAATAACTATCAAATGCGAGTCGCATCTATAAGTTTTTAGATTTATAACTAGTACTGCAAGGGGTAGCTGATTAAAAAGTTTTACGAAAATAAAAATGTTTACTTAATATATCGTCAATTCGAAACTGCTTTGTTTTGCATTGAACTTTGAGGCGAGTTTGTTGGAGGTAGAAGTTGTGCTGGACAACGATCCCATAAGTGACGATCGTATTGCATTTTTTTTTTTTAAATTTCGATAAACAAATGCCAAGTTGTGTTCTAAAATTATACATCCACAAATTTTACTACATGTCACTATATAACAATGTACAGCAATTAGCTCCTTTAACGTAGTTATGAATTAATACGAAACTTGATAAGCGGACAAACGTCAAAACGGCCATCATAGAGTGCCGGTACTTTAGTTGTATTATTAGGTGATTGTAGTTTGTGAACCGGAATCTAAATTAGGTCGAAACCTGAGCTATAGCTTCCAGGCCCCCCACCAACGGACATTTGACATAGAAGATACGCACTTAACAATTAAAAAAAATTAAGAGTCATGGAACAAGAGTTGTTGTTTATGATGTCAGTAATATATTATTATAGTCCTGCGAGGTTACTAGTGTCTTACAGATAGCCCTGTGCAATAATTCAGCTTTTAAGACGGACTTATTTCTGTTTATTTATAATTTATAAATAAAACGAAATAAGTACATCACATACGAAATAAGTGCACATATAGGTACTGTACAGAACACTTTCAATTCAATTCAATTCAATTCAATTCTTTATTACCTTTCGAAATAATCAAGTAATATGATTTTTACTTGCTTCGTGCTCTGTGATTTATGACAATAAACAATATTACCCACGATGCGTTTGAATTAGATGGGAGATTGTCTATTACTTATTTTACCTTTACCCCTACTTAATGTTTATTAAAACTTCCTAGAAACAACCCTCACAGGTTCCGAGAAAATAAGATAATTTAAAAAAGATGATTGTTATCGAGGCGCCCTACGTCGTTGCACTGAGCGTTCAACTCCATCAAATTGGCGCCAAATTAGTATTTCCCGCTTTTTTCTATTGCGATCGGATACACTTCACGGAACTGCAGCTGTTTACTGATTTTATGAATAGGGTCGAAATGGGTGTGCTTTCCTAGAATTCAAAGAAGAGAGTCACGAGCACAGAACAACTGTTTCGTTTGACTATGCATAGGGACAAGTTTGCCATATTGACGGCCAACCTCCAGAAGTGGAGGGCACTTTAAGAAGTAAGTAGTTAATTTTAGATTTTTAAAGTCTCTTTGCTCAGAGTAATGTATGTTATGAATATTTTTAACCTAACGCTCATTTAATGTTATTTTATTTGATATAATTTTTCTTCATATAACAATTCTAATATATCGCAAGTTAACCTTAAAATTAAAAAAAATATGAACGGAATACTATTCCTGTAGTAAGTCCTGGCGTAATGGCGGCTTTAAGATTGTACAATTTATTAGAGATTTCGAAAATTTAAAACCCTAAATAAGGCACACCTTGTCTGGTTGGCTACAGCTACCAATTCAAAACATAGCAAGTATTTGACACTTGCTAAGTTATATGTAAATAAAGTGCCTTAATAGATATTTGAATTGGCAATTAGTGGTTATTTAACATTGTTGGTACTGAAAATCTTGTCGTTTTATTAATTTCACAAGTGGAACAAAATCAAATTTTATTGCAAATTTTCTAATGCAATAACTAATAAACCACATATGTGGTCTGTGCCAAATACCCTAGCATTTGCTAAGCTTATATTGTGTTTTCATTTTGGTTGCTAAAGTAACTTAATTCATGTTCATCAATAATTAAACTCAGTAAGGGTATAAAACACAGAATTATTAATAAGTTGTAATAATTTTTTGTAATATCAAAATACATTCCTTGAGTGGTACAGGTACCATTGTACCCTACCTTAAACTTATTGCCTTTTTAACATTTAGGTTTAAGAGCGACCTTGATTTGTGTTTTTGGGCGTTCCAGTAAAATTTTTAACTGACTTTAAAAAAGGAGGAAGTTCTCAATTTCGCTGTTTTTTTTTTGGTGTACGCTACGCGATTTTTCGCGTGCGGCATTTGTGAACTGAATTTGATGGTTATTTTTTTGTTTGGAAAGAGGGTACCTCGGTATTGGTCCCCATGTCCCATTTACAAACTAGCACTGTGTGGCAAACTAGGGGATGAATCGGGTTTCACGCACTTTCCGGTAACCGATTATAAAGTTTATCGGCTCCTTTTTGTTTTGAAAGCTCGTTAAGCTGTTTCAATATAATTAAAGTTGTAACTCTTATGTCTGAAGTACTTACTAGGTTATGTTATGGCAGAGAACAAAAAGTATAGAGAACGGACACTCTCCGCCCCTCCCTAGCTTTAGATACCGCACCACAGCCCGCACATTGCCGGTCACATTGACTGAACGACAACAAGGCTGCCGGCGAGCCGTTTTCACGCGAAGACGGCTTTGATAATTGAATATAGTTTTCATTTATTCATTACGAAACTTGTACGTTAATATAAAACATCATTTTACGTTACTATTTATAATGGTCGTGAATGGTGCTGTGACGGCTGTTTATCATCATTTTCCAAAAGATGAAACGAAGTAAGTAAAAAGACTTATGTCTGAGACTCATTCAGTTATTGTTTTCTTCAGTTATTGACTGCAGAATAATATATTTATGTATAAAAAATACAGATTTATTATATCAATATAATGAGGCGCCATGACTTCGTGAGCTAGTAGACAAGGGTTCTCGAATTCTCAATTCATATTGCCGATAAATATTACGTAAGTAGCGAATATACCTAATTAATGATGATCAACTTGGACACGCAATTTCAAATACCTTGGTTACCTTGTTTAAAGGTCCATGTCCAAAATGTAACATTTTAATGCTTTTAATATATTTTCTAAATAAATCAATATTAATCTAGTTAGTGAATTAATGAAAAATATGATATTATATCGATATAAATAGGCTTGTGTAATTATTAAGGATTCTATTAATAGACACATAGATAATAGATTCGCGTTAGCATTTTCTCTATGTTGCCGCTCTGATCACGTAACGTAATAGTGCAAGAAAGTGATGAGTAACCCTGCCACTTCATGCACACATTTGCGCACGTGCAGACAGCGCCTTGCTGTATGTAGTAGTAGCAGGTAAATAATTTTCGACAGTTGTATGGAGTGTCCGGGGTGTGGCTATGGGGCAGCAGCGTTATATCTGTTAAAATTAATTTATTTGATTTTCACACAAATAAGGCGCATCCTTATCCTGGTCCAGTAGAGCACGCGCGTTTGTGTGTTCCTATAGTAATATGAAGCTTAATAGCTCACCTTTCATCTTGTGTTCTCCACTTTGTTCCGGGCTGGAGGCGTCTCGTGCGCGCGAGGCAGCCCAGCGCCGCAGCTCGAGTCGCTCGTACCCGTACCAGCCCAGAAGCTCGTTCATTGCAGTCTCCGCGAATTCCTGAAAACCATAAAGAGACACTTTTAATATAGGGCGCAATGTTTCTTTTTGACTTTGTATTCTGAACCGAGAAGAAATACACTACACTACCGCGGATCAACAAATTATTCCGTGTACACTCCATTATAATTATAATAATGTGCACACTCACAGCCCCACACAAGGACAACCCTGTATCGCAGGTGCCATGACAACCACAAATTACACCCAAACTCTCGAAATAGATATAGGCCATACAAATATTTCTTCCGGCCCAGGAATCCGGTGGCAGTCCAGCATGGTTACCGTTCGGCCACAGAGGCAGTTAAAATAAAGTAGAACGTTGCTAACAGGTTGTAAAACATGTACAACTTGAAATAAAGGTGTAATAGTAATAAAGTTTCCAAAAAAAAAATGTATACAAATCCACTTTTTTTAATTATACCAAGCGACAGGACGAACACGCGCCTAGTGTTAAGCGACACATCTGTCTATAGCAGCCGCAGTGCAGTGCCATTAACGGCCGCTTTCTATATTTGATCCTGAATCTAAGATTGTTTTCTATCCAGATTTTATTCGATCCATCGATCGCTGCCGAATCTGTATTTCAATATGTCTATCTCGGCTCTAGCGCTCTTAAAAAAAAAAGGATCGGTCGTAAATTTACTCCCTCTCTGACGTTCCACGAAATCGGAGTAAAAGATAATTTCATGAATTAGTGAATAAAATGGTGGTTATGATTCTAAGATTAATTTATTTATACATGTGATTTGGCAAAAATATAAATTAATTGCAAACTTTCAAGTATTAAAATATTTAAACCGTAAGTACGTCGAGAATAACGTGTTTCGAGGAACAGAACGGAACGTCTATTGTCCAGAACGGAACGTTTATTGTCAAACGAGCGGGACGGCCATATAGGATGGAAAAAAATAAAGGGACGGCGCTTACTTTTATATTTTTATTTTAATAATTACTTTAGCTTTAAGTATTTATCTACTTTTGAATGATTAGCACAGTTATTATTAGGCACAGGTAGGTATGTCAAATGTGTTTTTGTTTAACCAACTTTCAAGAAAGGAGGAGGTTCTCAATTCGATTGTATGTTTTATTTTCTTTTTACATGTATGTTACGCGATAACTTCGGTAATTTGGGAACCGATTTCGATAATACTTTTTTGTTGGAAATAGGATACCTCAGCAATGGTCCCATTTAAATTTGTAGAAAATATTCCTCCTCTAAGGGTGGCAAAGTAGGGGGTGAATGACTTTTGAAGTCGATTTTTTTAATAGTTTAGTATTGTTCTATATTCTGATGTCTGTTGCAAAAAAATGTATAAAAATTTGTAGTAGTAAGTATGTTAAGTGCTTTATTTATTTATTTAAAAATATACATTGTGAGTTGATAGTGTCAATAATGATGTGAGCAATAATTCTTGTAGAATTTACAGAATGAAAAGAAAAATGGTTTTTCTTTTAAATTTAACTTAACCTAACCTAACCGAGCCTAATTGTGTCTTTGCGATACACATTCAACATATCGTGAAAGAACAACTGTTTCGTTATATTCGGTTTTCGGTGTAATGAAAATTTTAACGAACTTTATTTCATACAAAAAAATTTTCGAGTTTGTGGAAAAAAATTCAAAATAACTTATCAGTTTTGGTAATTTGTCAGTGAGCACATCGGCATCCCGAACCTCGTCCAGGAAGAGTGTATAGTGTGTACACACGTAACATTTAATAACGTAAACTAATTTTCAGTTTCGGACAACTCTACATTTCCTACTTTTCCTCGACCCTCGTTTCAAAATATCGTGTGAAAGGTCGCGCACAGTCCGACACATGTATTTAAATTTACTCATATAATATATTGCTCATATCGCCTGTTTACATTTTTTATAGCAACGACTACAAAAATAACGGCTATTTTTTAGTTCTTTTAAATAAATCGGAGATATAATACATGGTCGGTATTTTTAGAAAGGGCGAAAGCGCCATTACGAAAAATTTTTCAGGGCAGCATATTTTAGGTTTCAGCGACTGTTTTAAAATATTTACGTCCTGTTTTAAAAATCAGTTCTAGTTTTAAACAAAATTTGAAACGGCGTAAATATTTTAAAACAAGCGCGAAAAACTAAGACATCCCCTGAAAAAATTTTGCGAAATGGCGCTTCCGCCCTTTTTACAAGACACCGATAGTATATAAAATAAGTGGAGCCCGGCGACCTCTTTACTGGTGCCGTTTTATTGCTCGCGATCGCTGGCAATAAATTCGTAAGAATATATAAAACGAGATTTAAGAACGCGACGTAATTCAAGAAATATCTGAGTCGCTAAATAAAAAAGATTAATGATGGCGCCAGAAGTTGTCCTATCGTCATACCGGCTGGACAGCCGCTATGACGATATGACACTACAAACTTTCATTTGTTTCGATTAATGTTTCCAAATAACGTAGTAGGTACATCATAATTTTTATACAATGTTTTCGCACCTTTAATGAATAAGACCACATTTGCGAAATTATAACTTCTCGATAGAGAGATGTAAAGACTCTACGAATGAAATCAGTGACGGGACGAACAAATTGTGCGCCTGGTGGTAAGTGACACGCCTATCCATAACAGTTGCAGTGCCACTTAAAGCTTTATATAGCAAATATCTAAGGGTCGCTGCCACGTAAGTTGACAAGTTCAATGTGCCTGTAATTACACCAGTATTCTTACCCTTCTAACCGGAACGCAGTTATAGCTCACGTTACTGTGTGACGGTAGAAATAGGTAAGGTAGCTGTACTTCCCTGGTCGAACTCTTTCACGAGAAGGTCTACTGCTACTTGTTTTCTTGTAATTCGTATTATTTTCATGACTTTCATGTGATAAATGTAATTTTGACAAATTATAACATGTGGCTGTTTTTATATCAAGGGTTTTTGACATAGACATTCTTTATTGGTAAAATTAACATTTACAAGTCATACAAAATTATGAATTATATTTGTATTATTTTCTTATATTACTATTGTGGTCACATTTAAAATTATAATTAATTATCTTATATTACTATTACTTAACCAATGTGATAAGTTATATATTGATTGCTTGACAGCCCAGTGCTTTAATCTACATCTAAATACATAAGTTGTCTTTAGATGTAGGTTATATACTGTCGCATCATTGACTTACAAATAAATGGACGACGGGTCTAATACAAAAACCACGAAAAAATGTCTCAAGTCAACCTATTTAAACGTAGTGACATGTAAAGAAATATGAAAAAGCTAAAACGTTGAATTTAAATTGTAAGGTCATCGCAGTACTGTCTATTTTGACGAAGACTAGAGCGTGAATGACGCTCTGTATACGATTTTAACGCCCCATAAGTTCGGACACTTTTTAGCGCGGACCCTACGTCCATATAATTGTAAGTCAATGTGTCGCATGTATTAATTTGCCCGTTTTGGACAAAATATGCTGTACGGGGAAGCTAAAATTCTATAACATTGTAACAATCTTCTATTCAGTGTCACTATATAACATATGCAAATTCCCAGGTTTCGAAACTCGAAGTTTACAGACTTTCACTCGTGGATGTCCTGCAGTATCGCATTGTGGTGCAACTCAACTGAATCAAAAAGGGTGTTTATTCTCCAAAAAACGTGCAATGACTCATAAGCGTGAAAACAGATCATTACTCCTTTTTTAGAAACTTATTTCCGAAATAACGCTCGTTAAAACTTAAAAATTTACGAGTAGTTTATGGGTGGAGGTCGAGCATTACGAAAATCGTTGCCCAACGAAAAACCCACACAAAAACATTTCCCCGCAACATAAAAAATATTACAAATGACTAAATGTTTTATACCCAACATAAACTACTTTTCAATAAAAGGAAAATTTTATAATGAATTTAACAATGCAGAGGAATTTCCCGTGCCCGTGTGAACCGGACACCCTGCACCACAGGTAAAGCCAGTACTGCAATCAGTTAAGTAAGTAACATTGATGTGCAATAGCAATAAATGACAGTCCTATTGTAACAATCAACACAAGGGCCAACAACATATATTTAAGGGCACAAATAGCTTTACTATTTCATATATTATGTCCCAGTGATAGCTCGAAAGAAAGCATGTTTATGCCATACCTATTTTCTCTGACAGTAAATTGTCTAAACATTTCATGAAATTGATAGGCATCCAATCAAAACAAACGCGAGTATCCTTCACTCATCTACAAGCACCTATATCTGTTCCACCGTCCACGTGTCCTCATATCTCCTTTATTACAGGACTTTCTGTAATCCGAACTCCAATTATGACATGGTCATCTTGTCTCTGAGATATCACCAAGGCTTGTGGCGTATTAATTAAATCCCACAGCGTGTGTCAAACGTATTACGTTACCGTATAATGAAGCCATCTTTAAGTCTGGGAGACGGTCCTTATAATATTACCTACTAATTTTGCTTGGTGACAAAGTTAAAGTTGGTATAGTTTCATCAGAATCTCCTGACAAATAGGGTAATTGAAAATGAAAATTATTGTTGGCAACTTTTAATGTAATTGGAATATTCTTGATGGTTGTGATTTTTTTAACATTTTACACGTGAAAAGTATCGCAAAATAATACCTACGCATAAGTAATAATAAGCGTTGATTTTATTTAATATAATTATATTTTACTACCATGATATAAATTTTTTTTGGTACAATTATTCCACTAGTTTGTTATAATTATTATTAATACAAAGATCGAACACGAAGAATTTTTACATAGGATTTTTTAGACTTTTATAGTCATAGTGGGGCCGTGGCTCTGGTTTAGGAGCTGAGTGAAGAAAAACTTTCATAGATTTCTCACAGATGGCGTTACTACGGCAAAACTGTCGTTAAAAACCAGAAACAAAGATGTACAACGAGCATGTAGAAAAATTTGTAAGGTCTGCTGGTTCGTTTCGTAGCTCAGTTGGCAGAGCGTCAACATGGTATGACGAAGGCGCGGTTTCAAATCCAGCCGAA